GGGGGGGGTGGGGTGATGGGCAGAGCTCTACGGGCTGAGCCCCTACTGCATACCAGGAGGTGGGGACTGAGTGCTCTGGGGAGCTGCATGCAGTGTGACCTCAGCGAGCAGTCACTGATCCCCTCTTATGGGCACAGGCATGCTCTCGTGGTGTTCGGGGGCCTCCAGGGGCTGGAAGCTGGAGTGGATGCGGACCCCAACCTGGAGGTGGCTGAACCCAGCGTCCTCTTTGATCTGTATGTCAACACGTGCCCCGGCCAGGGCAGCCGCACCATCCGCACCGAGGTGAGCCCGGTGAGCCCTGAGCCCGTCTGCCTCCCCGCTCTAGCCCCAGGCCGTCCTCCAGGTTCTGCCACCAGTCAGGGGTGTGTCCAACGGGAGTGCAGCTCTCCCCCGCCCACCCTGCTCAAGGCTGTCTCGAGCCAGCCTGCCCTGGAGATGGGTTCCTCACTACCTCAATCTGGCCACAGCAGATTCCAGCAGGGACCGCGTATGAGTGAGCAGGGAGTCAAGAACCCTGGGTGCTCGTGGCCCTCCAGCTGCTGGACCAGCTCGTAGGCTGGGTGACCCAGGAGACCCTGGCCACCCCCACCCTGGGCCTCGGTTTCCCCAGCTGTACTCTCTGTGTTGCACTTCCTCACGCATGACGGTGGTGGGCAGGGCGGTCCTTCCCACTGGGCCTCACTGGCATCTCAGTCCTGTGGGGTGCAGTGTGTAGCTAGCTCTGGGAGCCTCAGTCCTGAGCATCCGTGGAACCCGTGGGCCCACTTGTGAGGCCAGCACAGGCAGCACACTGTAGGCACTTGGCTTCCATTACTGTCAAAGGGTGGGGAGTACACAGGTGGACTGCCCCAGTCTGTCCCCAGGGGTCCTGCAGGGGCCACACCCTCCCAGCAGGAACCCCCCACACCCACCCTGTACCAGGGGCTGAGAACTGCCTGTCGCCTCCGCTAATCCTGACCCTGGGAGGCAGGTATTATTCTGACCATCCTCTCTTTAGAGGGAGACACTGAGGAACAGAGAGGCAAGGCCCTTCCCTGGTGGGGCATGCAGCCAGCCGGGGTCAGATCAGCAGGGTGAAGCTGAGCCTGCTCTGAACTTCCTCGGGGCTCTGCTGAGGGCAGCAGGCCCTGGGGGGTTGGGCATTGTGAGGCTGGGGGCCGGGCTCCCTCCAGCCTCCCGGGCCCCAGCCTGTTGCTTTCCTCTCCAGGAAGCCATCCTCATTTCCCTGGCTGCCCTGCAGCCTGGCCTCACCCAGGCGGGGGCCCGTCAGGCCTACGACAGCAAAGCAGCAGCAGGGAAGCCAGAGGTTCCTGGGGTTCCCCCAGGACAGACACAGCCGTGACTTGTCTCCAGAAATCACCACCTTTAATGCAGCCCCGCCCCCGCAGTCTGGCAGGGCTGTGGCCTTCACTTGCTGCCTGCAGTGACGGCCTTTAGGCTGCCTGCCCGTGCCAGAATATTTGGCACGAAGAGCAGCCCCGAGGCCCGCTCAATGCTCTCGATGGGCACCAGGAAGCGCTCCAGCGGAACCGCCTCGTCCACGGGAGCGTTGGGCATCACGTAGGAGCGGAGTTCGATTTGCCCGCCTGCGGCCTCCAGGATCAGCACCTTGAAGAAGTGGGTGGGCACCGCCACGTGGTTCTTCCCGATGACCTGATACTTCACATAGGACTTCCCGTCAGCCTCCGTCCTGCGGGCAGAGCCGGGCACACATGGCCTTTCAGGGCTCCCAGGGCGTCTGGTCGGACCCACGGCTGCTGCCCTGACCTGACTTCAACTTGTGTCAGCCTGTAGGACTGCCACCTCAGCGCGAGGCTTCCGTGCCCTTCTTGGCTCCCCAGGAGGCTGGGATCTCCCTGCAGGGTGAACACTCCTACCCTGTTTTCCTCGTGCCCAGCACTGGGTCAGGCAGGACGGGTGACAGCAGTAAACGTTACTCAGAGAATCGGGCCTTGTGGACATTCACCTTCCCTCCTGCAGACACATGCTTACGCTCTACCTACCCCTGTGGAGGGCGAGCACCAAGTGGGCAAGGCCCACGAGCCCTGAATCCCCTGTGCCAGCACAGGCACTGGTGTCCGGAACACTGGCCGGGTGACTTCCGGTCTTCCCCGTGTCAGCAGGCCGTCGAAGGCACTTGCAGTGACCATCCCCCCCCCCCCCCCCAACCCTTTGACTCCTAAGCAACCACGAGGTAGGTAGTGGCTATTATCCCCATTTTACAGGAGAGGATATTGAAGTCACTTGCCCACTCCTCTAGAGATCAGGTGATAGGCCCTGGATTCCTTTTCAGGCCTGTGGGCCTTGCCGTAACCTTTTGCCTCTCTCGATCTTCAGTACGCCAGGAAAATCACTGAGCATGCCCAGAGGAGCTCAGTCCCTTCCACCTGGGAGGCAGGGCTACAGAGGGCCCAGAGTGGAGGCTCAGGGTCAGGGAGAGGGAGTTCTAACCCTGGCTCCAGGGTGAGGAGGATTGTTCCAAGCAGAGGAGACCGAAGGCAAGAGCCTGACCTGACGAAGACTTTTCTATCTGGGTAGAACGGAGTCGGGTGCGCATGGCAAGAGGTGAGGTAGGAGAGAGGAACAGAGGCAGATTTGGGGCCTGGTGCCATGCACAGAGGAGACACGGTCTAGGTGGGTACCCAACAGGTCTCTGGCTGTAGAAGTGGAATTAGGGGGCCTAAAGTAGGGAACGGACAGGCTTGTGAAGAAACCAGATAACGTGACCTGGCACTGAGTGTGGACCCAGGGGCTGAGGCAAGCCTGAATGGTGAGAGTGGCAGGAAGGGG